GTTATGGCCCTGGTTTGTGCTAGTGGGGGAGACCGGAACTGACGCCGATGTAGCTGAATCATCGTAGCGGTACATTAATTATAAACTTTAAGTGTTAATATTTAATTCTGTGACTTATGACTGTAACCAATAGTGAGAAACACTAGAGAGTCTAATCCGGAGGGCATGTTCATGCTAATGTGCCGATCCATTGCACTGGTGAGTTTGTTTTGTTCCGCTAGCCTATATGCTAATGTCCACCATTGTGTGCCCATTGTTCTCAATGTAAACGGCGCTTGTAGCCGAAGCTAACGGCTAAAGTGTTTTATCCTTGTTAACTTACTAAAAAATCTTTTAACGATAAAACAGACTACTAACAGTGGTGAGTGGAGTAGCTCCGTCAAGTTATATGTTTTGAAACGGTGTTTTATATCGAGTTTTTAAATTGCTGTATTATCTGTTAGCGGCCGTTGAGACACTTAATACTAGTGAATGATATTGAGGTTGGATTTTCATAAACTTTCATTCATTCCGGGCTGTTAGATGCCTTTTGAATGTTTTTCTGTGTATTTGTGTTACATCTATGTATTGTTATTTTGCACCTTAATGATAACTATGTATTATGGTTATGCACTTTATTTCAAAATGATAGTTGATATTTAATATGTTGTCCAACTGAACTAGAAACATGATACTGTGATTAATATTGAGTTTATTGATACCAGCCTTAGCCTATGACAGCAATGTCAACAGTGTTAGCTCCAAGGTAATTTTATGTCGACCTATTCCATATAGGTCAGGTTTTTTAGGAGATTCAAAGTCTGGGAGATCGCGGTCTGGTGGAGTCTAACTTTAGCCTGGCGGTGGAAATCCTCAGAGAACTTGGAGACCTTGGAGAACTTGGAGAAACTGTTCCAGTACTGGATGGCAAGCCAACCCCCACTTGATAAAGAGCCCAGTTGTAGCCAGGAGGTTGCAACCTAGAGACCTTAAGCTGGAGAATCTTGATCTATAATCCGTTGGCCTAAGGGGTCAGGTAGAACTTTGTGCACACTGACACTTGCTTTCCTTGGAGGAGGACAATTACCTTGCGCATTGATCCACTATCAGTGACTTGAGGAACTCTGAACTTTATTTTGAGTGCACTTGCAATCTTTTATTATTTTGATACTTTGTAATTTTATACTTTTATATATATTTGTAGGGCTGGGGCGATTCGTCGACGTAATCAATTACTCGACGCATCGCTGCAGCCGGTGTGGGATTATTCCGGACAAGCTCCAGCTACAAGACCGCGCCTTCGACCGTCTAAAGTTTGGAGTATTTCAGACAGACACTCAACAACGTGCTGCTCTGTGAGCTCTGTGAACTGGAAACACACAGCTGCACACAGCTGCTGTCCACAAATACGTGAAGCAGCACGAACGCGAAACGAAAGTATCCCGCAGCACTTTGTCTAGACTGCAGCACCGCAAATCGTGATTACTTTCTGTCTCCACATAAGCGTGGCACATTATGAGCACGAGGACACGTAGTATTTCTTTATTGCCTTCATGTTAAAAGTAATTTCTGCCCCGCTGCTGTCATGGTAACGTAACGTTACACCGTGAGTCATGTAACGATCAGCTGTTTCATATTTTGTTTATTTAACGGCCACTTATGAGCGAGAAAACAGCTGAATCTAATTACAGACAATCTATGACTGTCAGTACAGTCTGTGAGTCCTTTCAGGTGTTCACTGATGCAGAAATACATTTTATTATCATACTGCATTACTTAATATTGAAATGAATCCATGTCAGAAACAAGTTTTAAGTAAAGCCCCAGATAGCAAGACTACATTGAATAAATATTGATTTTCCATCTGAATCATCAGAATGGTTGAGATTGAAATCTCAACTCTAAATAAATGTTGAATCAATATTGCAAAAACGACCATGTATGAGCGTGACATTGGAATAATATTTATTTATAGTTGCCCCGATTATATTTGATTAAGCATTGATTTGTAGTTGACTGGGTAACAATAACAATGTTGAAAAATCATCTACATGTATTTATAGTTGACCAGAAATGACAGGATATTGAAAAGCCGTTGAATTATAGTTGACCGGGAAACATGATTGAAAAGTCATTGAATTAAAGTTGACCGGGAAATATGATTAAAAAGTAATTGAATTGTAGTTGACCGGGAAATATGATTGAAAAGTCATCTATTTATAGTTGACCGGGAAATTTGGTGATATTGAAAAGCCATGGATTTATAGTTGACCGGGAAACAGGATTGAAAAGTCATTGAATTATAGTTGACCGGGAAACATGATTGAAAAATAATTGAATTGTAGTTGAACGGGAAACGCCATTTCAGATTTCAAAGTTGTTTCAGTATTAAAAAAGGGTGCAAAATGATGATTAATCAACATCACAGTCTGATGTTGATTCAATGAAATTAGCGTTGAATATCAGAATACTGATTCAACATAGTTTCAACGTCATTTTAATAGTAATATTGGTTGAAATATCATTGAAGTCAAGTTGATTGTTAGTTAGCCTATCATTTCAGCGTTGTTTCAATAGTAATATTGGTTGAAATAACATTGAAGTCACGTAGATTTTTAGTTAGCTATGATTTGGACGTAGTTTCAATATTAAAAAAGGGTGCAAAATGATGATGAATCAACATGAAATTAGCGTTGACAGCAGAATGTTGATTCAACATAGTTTCAACCTTGTTTCAATAGTTATATTGGTTGAAATACTATTGAAGTCACGTTGATTGTTAGTTAGGCTATCATTTCAACGTTGTTTCAATAGTAAAATTGGTTGAAAGAACATTGAAGTCACGTAGATTTTTAGTTAGGCTTTGATTTCAACGTTGTTTCAGTAGTAAGATTGGTTGAAATACCATTGAAGTCACGTTGATTGTTAGTTCGCTATCATTTCAACGTTGTTTCAATATTAAAAAATGGTGCAAAATGATGATAAATCAACATCAGAGTCTGATGTTGATTTAGTTAAATTAGCGTTGAGAGCAGAATGCTGATTCAACATAGTTTCAATAATGTTTACTATCTGTAGCCTAATTAATGTCTGTTATTGTTATTATCACAACACATCAGTGATGTGGAAATTTGATTCATTTTAAGATTTGCTGCTATTGTCATTATTCTAATGTGCTTCATCTGGATGATTGAATAAAATGTTTTTGATATTTATTTTGGATAAATTGGTATGTTAATCAAGTAATAGGCAACTTTTCTTTCTTATTAGAAAATTATTAGAAAAGTAGTCGTTAAATTAATCGACTAGTCGAAAAAATAATCGTTAAATTAATCGACTAGTCGAAAAAATAATCGTTAGATTAATCGACTTGAAAAATAATCGATATGTACAGCCCTATATATTTGGGATTCCACTTTTCTACTTTACTATTTTGCTGCACATAATTGCTACTGTTTATTAATGCTATTCACCTTTCTTATGGATTGCATTTAATACATGCAGTTAAACTTATTCCTGTGCCTTGTGTTGTTCTTTCACCGTTGTAATTAAATTTTTTGGCTTCAGCGAGCAAACCTATAATCTTCTGATCTGGCCTAATTCCAAACATCTAGATACCTCGAATATTTATTACTAGCAGGCAAATTTGGTAGTTATCCCCTTATAGACGTGGCCAGCCATTGAGTAGCTGGTTACAAAGCCATCTCTCATGACTGTGTGGGGAGCAAGGCTTGTTGATGTGTGAGTTTAGAGTCTCTGACTGGTCCACTAATAGGGGAGAACTTCACCCCTTGAAACATAGCCCCTCCTCGTTCGCATAATGAAGCAGATATGCATAGAGAAATGTAAAAAGAGGAGGCAGGTATATATAACCATTGAAGAAATAAATAGAGTAGAAATGCAAAGGAAGAATAAAACTGAAAAAAATATTTAAACACACTTAAATAAATACATTTAAAAAATTCTAATTAATAAATAAAGTTTAAGATTATAACAGACAATAAATAAATAAGGTAATTATTACAAAGGTGAATAAATAAATAAGCTAATTAAAAAAGATATATACATTTATGTCTTATTGTAATTTAATTACTGCCTACATTTATTTATCTACTTTATTGTTTGAGCGTATAATCGGATGCTTATTTATTTACTGAGCATTTATTTATTTCGGTATTTATTTCTCTTTATCTCAGAATTGGTCCTCCATACCCTGACAGCTATCTGATCAAGGAATGACTATACAAGATGGCAAATCTGACCAGATATTCAACGCCAGTTTTCAGTACTTGAGAGCTTCAGTATTCAGCCTTTTGTGCAAGTGGTCAAGATTTAATCAAAAGTGTAGTCCAAAAAATTACAGTTGGTATGTTTGCACATGCAAAATGGCTTAGGCTAAACAAAACAGTGCTTTTGGATTTTAGAAAACAAAAAAAGAAAATGAACTTGTCCCATGTCCACGCTTATTTCCTGTTTAGTATAAAATATACTATATTTACTGTATTTATGGCGCATCTGTTGCTCAGGGGGTAGAGCGGTTGTACACTAACAGGAAGGTCAGTGGTTCAATCCCTGGCTCCCCCGGTTGAAGTGTACTTGGGCAAGAGACTGAACCCCAAATTGCTCCTGATAGCATGGTCATTGTGAGTAAATGGGGTGATTGTGATGTAGTGTAAAGCACTTTTAGTGGTCGGAAAGACTAGGAAATACAGACCATTTAGCTTGTCTGCCAATTTTTTAATGGTTCCAGGAAAATTTCTGGACTGCATAGTGCTCTCAAAAATCATCTTGATTGAATAAGAAAGGCAGTATCCATGGCATGTGCATTACTTTTTTACATTGTGACACTACACCTGTCAATGATGTAAATGACCATCCAAAATCTAAACTCACTGTTCACTCCAAAAACTAGTGTAACCACTGACTATTATGTGGGAAGTGACTGAGCGAATGTTTTTGGACACAGCTATGTATTTATGGTATTTATATAGTAAACATCGAGGACCTCCTTGTTTACTCACCTTACAGGCCTGAGACCATGCTCTGGACGCTTCATGCACAACCAGCGTGGCACCGCCGAGAGGAAAAGCCTCCGAACCCAACGAGGCATGGTGTGAGTCGCTGACGAGCGGTGGTGAACGTTCAGCACAAACACAGTGATGACGATGGATAACGTGACGAAAATCATAGTGAAGAGCAGATACTCCCCAATCAGCGGTATGACCAGCGACGTGGATGGGATGATCTCCGTGATGAGCAGCAGGAAAACGGTGAGCGACAGCAGCACAGAGATGCACAGTGTGATTTTCTCGCCGCAGTCCGACGGTAGGTAGAAGACCAGAACGGTGAGGCAGGAGATGAGGAGGCAGGGGATGATGAGGTTGATGGTGTAGAACAAAGGGAGGCGGTGGATGACAAAGTAGTAGGTGATGTCAGGGTAGATCTCATGGCAGCAGTCGTATTTCTTGGTGTTGTAGGTGCCCACAGCATTAACAATTGCCCACTCTCCGCTCTCCCAGTAATCCTAGAAATGAGATATTTTTAGCCAAGCTGGTGGAGTGGCTCCAGGGCAGCTGATCTTTTATGGTTTGCCATGAAGTTTTGTACAGACATTCATAGTCCACAGAGGACGAATCCTGCCTGTTAATGGTGCTGGATGATACAGACGGAGTTAATGGATCACCATTACATCTTGAGGAGAACATGATTGTTTGCACCAATTTCCTGGCAATCATTCCAATATTTGTCAAGACATTTCACTGAAGACCAAAAATGTGAACCTCAGGGAAAGATTGAGGGATCTCCTCAACTGGTGTCAAAATATTTCTCTCCAGACCAAAGTAGTGGCCCAACATAAAGGTCCAGTGTGTAATATTTAGGAGGTAATATATAGGAGGATATACTGACAGAAATGCAATTTAATATCCATAACTATGTTTTCAGTGGTGTATAAAGACCTTACATAATGAACCATTATGTCTTTATTAGCTTAGAATGAGCCATTTCTATCTACATACACCGTTGGTCCTCTTCATGGTCGCCATGTTTCTCAGTGGTTTTAAGGGACAAACTACTCTACAGAGCGCGTTTTGTCACTCCGTTGAATACGTACGAAGTAGAAGAATTAGTAGTGGTAGTAGTAGTAGAAGAGTTGTCTGGTTTGTTAGAAGTAAGAAGAGTCAAGAAATCTGGACAAACGGAGGACCACACATATTATTTACCACAATATCCGACAGAGCGTGGCCCCAACGTAGATTCTCCTAAACACTTGCAGACGGAGGGGTGAGCAGCAATTTGCAACCCTCACCACTAGATGCCACTAAAACCTACACACTGAACCTTTAACAAACCAACAAACATCTCTTTCACTATAGCCACAGTGTCGCTAGTTCACAATTTTCTTTAGTAGAAATGTGAATTAAGTTTACACCTTTAAGTTGCCAACAGATTTTCTGGTGAACAGCATAAATTTTAAGTTTGTGACATTAAAGTAGTGCTAAACACTGCGCTAAAAACTGCTTCATCAGGCTAACTTATATTTAACTCCTCTGCTTTGAAAGTCACAACAAACACCATTATGAAAACCTGAGCATTTTGCATTTGCGTTTTGTTTTCACCAGAACTTAATGCACGATATCACGATAAAAACATTTCAAATCATTAGATATGGATAATTATCATGATAAATGTCAAATCATTATTTCTTTCAAGTTTAAAGACTGATTTTTGCTCTTGACTGAATTGAAGATGGTTAATTATATGGCTAATCTTTCTTTATGGTCAGAATGGGACAAACACTTGATGCCAAACAGTGCATCACTTAACAAATCGGAGGGAGAACATTCAAAACTATTATGATAAAAAAAATGTAACGAATATGATTAGTAAAACTTTTTTCAGTCCCTTTTCCTCAACAAAATAAATAGTTTAATAAAAAAATTAAGTGCTAATTTGTTCGTGATTCAAATGAATTAAACCAAATATTTATTGACGATATATAGAACATTTATTAGAAATTATAAATATTCTGTTAATTAAACAGTAACCAGACAGAGCGTTTAGCTGGCATCAGTCTGCAAAACAAAATGGTTGGGAAAGAGCGCGTGTGAACCGTAGATAGGAGGTACAGAGGCATTAGCAGACATTAACTGGCAAATCACAAGGGAACAGTTGTGGCTAAATGGCACAAAATTAAAAAAGGAGAAAGAAAGGACGGAGGAGAACGAACATCCATCCGTTTCCACCTACCTTCAGGTCCACCGCATTCTCAAAGGGCTCCAGGTCAATCTTGGCGCGGTCGTACGTCCAGGAACCGAACTTCATCTTGCAGGTCTGCTGGTCAAAAGGGAAGAAGGTGACGTCAATGGAGCAGGAGGACTTGTAGATGGCTGGGGGCACCCAGCGGACACGCCCGGTGTGAAACAGATGGGCCTTGGTCATGTGGGTGACAGCAAACTCTCCATCTGCACTGGAAAAAGAAGAAGAGAGGTAAAAGTGTAGGAAAAAGGCAAGATAATACTGAAAAGAAGTAAGGAATGAAGATAATGAAAATGAAGGTGATGATTTGTTTTTGTTTTTTGTTGAACAAGGCTCCCATGTTTCCGTCTCATTATGTTTCAAACTCAAAAAGTAAACCAATAAACCTCGAGCTATGCCCAATTTACACAGGCAATCTTTAATAATTGATTACTAACGACACCGTATACATGATGCAAGCTCATTTAAACAAATGCTGAAGGAGGAGAAAGTTTCGTCACCATCCAGACAGATTTCAGAATTAATACTTCCTCGGGGCCTGAGGGAAGGAAACCAGACTGAAACTATGTGATGCAAGATCTCTGTGCAGCCGCAATGGAATCAGGGTAATTTATTCAACAGGATAATTTGCATGTATCGCCAAATTGGTATGCAGGAATATGCAGAAATACTATGGTATCGTGAAGCTGTTTGGCTCCATATAGGCGACCTTCCTTCCTCATACGCTCTTCAGCGGATGAGGACATTGTTATGGATCAAGCGGATAATTGATCACTCAAGATAATTTCCAGCTCCACCTACAGAAAGTCAAAGTCATTTTTGTTTAAATTCAGTATATGTGTGTGTGTGTGTGTTTGTGTGTGTGCGCTCATTTAAATCTGGAAAATGACAATAAACTTTTTCTTTTACACAGCAGAGGTCAAGAAACAAGACTTAAAAATAGGACTTTCTTCAACTGAAGTGCTCTTTGCTTGCATACTTTAGTTTTAATCTTTGGATTGCAGAACATGCAAAATTCCCTGAGATCATATAACTAGTACTGCATGATGCAAAGACATTACCTCTTGGCCTTCACTTCACTTTGACATGCTTCTATTCTGAAAATGAATCTATTATGAAGTGTAACAATAAGGTGGATTTGTGCAACTGGAGCAAACTACAGTTGTTTGGTGTTAAATGTGCAACTGCGTGTGTTTCTTACTTGTTGTACAGCACAATATCTGGCACCCAGATGAGCTCAGAAGGAACTCTAATGGACGTCACATTGTCAAAGTCGGAGGGACTCCACTGAAGCTTGTAGTCAGTCCATTCCTGCTAGCACAGTTTGTGGATAATGTTTTCATTTTAGATACTAGTACAATTTGGTTAGAATCACACTCAAACAATTTTCTCCATACCTGTTTTAGCCACACGTTGGTCGTCATCATCTGATTTTTCTCATCCTGTTTTGGAGTAAAAAAACAGTCCGTGAGTGGCAGATACAGTTGTGTTCAGTGGTGTTAACTTTTAGACACTTGCTTATAAACTACAAAATATTTAGAAAACAACAATAAAAGTGTGTGTGTTCCCACCACGTCTATCAGCTGTGCGATCGAGAGGCCAAACTTGACGATGACCACATCGGTGATGTTTCGCGCCGGACGCGTCCACTTGCTGTAGCCTCCAAACAGGGTCCTGAATAGCTCGTCCTCAGTGTGAACACGTGTCCAGTCTTCAGCCAGCACTGGCAGAGAGAACGGGAGAGAGGGGAGATCACTTCTGGTGCAAAATGACTGCAGACATAATGATTTGGATTTCAGGGTCTTATAATCCAAAAACCTAATGATACAGCCACATCTTGAAGAACAAGGCCACTAAACTCTATTTGACATTTACTTTAGTTGAATACATCTCCAAACTACTGACATCTGAACCAAAATACATTTATTATCTACTTATTAACATTTACAACTGCAGACGTTATGAATTATAATATTAACTTGTCATCATTTGCTCACGTGAAATAGATAAGACTGAAGGTTAAGCCAATTTAATACTTCATTGTTTGATTTTTTAGTAAAATTACCTGGACTTCTTGTTGGATGATTATAAAAGACTTGAGTTGTATGTGTATGTTGATATATATGAATGATATATTTAGTGTCTTATAATCCATGTGGGTATCTCATTTGTTGCACATGGAACCCTGGAATACTTCAAATGTCATATCCACTCACCAGCCACTTTCTTAGGTACACCTTGCTAGTACCGGATTAGACCCCCTTTTGCTTTCAGAACTGCCTTAATTCCTCAGAGACTTTGGTCCATATTGACATGATAGCATCACACACTTGCTGCAGATTTGTTGGCTGCATCTCCATGATACAAATCTCCCATTCCACCACATCCCATAGGTGCTCTATTGGATTCACTGGTGACTGTGGAGGCCACTGGAGTACAGTGAACTCATTGTCATGTTCAAGAAACCAATTTGAGATGGTTTGAGCTTTGTGACATGGTGCATTATCCTGCTGGAAGTAGCCATCAGAAGATGGGTACACTGTGGTCATAAAGGGATGGACATGGTCAGCAACAATACTCAGGTAGGCTGTGGCGTTTAAACGATGCTCAGTTGGTACTAAGGGCCCCAAAGTGCCAAGAAAATATCCACCACACCATTACACTACCACCAGCAGCCTGAACCGTTGATACAAGGTAGAATGGATCCATGCTTTCATGTTGCTGATGCCAAATTCTGACCCTACCTAGCTGAAATCGAGACTCATCAGACCAGCCAACGCTTTTCAATCTTCTATTGTCCAGTGTTGGTGAGCCTGTGTGAATTGTAGCGTCAGTTTCCTGCTCTTAGCTGACAGGAGTGGCACCCAGTGTGGTCTTCTGCTGCTGTAGCCCATCTGCTTCAAGGTTCAACGTGTTGTGTGTTCAGAGATGGTATTTTACATACCTTGGTTGAATCGAGTGGTTATTTGAGTTACTGTTTCCTTTCTGTCATCTGGAACCAGTCTGCTCATTCTCCTTTGACATCAACAAGGAATTTTCCTCCTCACAACTGCCGCTTACTGTATATTTTCTCTTTTTCAGACCATTCTCTGTGTTCAGCTAGCTGAACTCTGTCCGTCTCAATATGATTGTTTTAGTCAACCTAGGGTCAGTGGTCGTGGTGGTGTGCTACTGAGCGTGACGTACGCTGTGATGAATTTAACTCCTTTGAAGTTCTCACTCTTAAAGTTGGAGGGCTGCAACCTATCATATTTGTTATAATTTATAGCCCACCCAAAACCGCCTGGAGGAACTTCCTGAATTTGTATCTACTCTGGTTTTAAATTATGACAGAATTGTTCTTTGTGGCGATTTTAATATTCATGTTGATGACCCCAACAATGTTAATGCAACTGACTTTTTAAATATGGCCACTTCTTTTAACTTCAAACAACATGTCAAAGGGCAAACACATAACCGTGGTCATACACTGGACTTGGTTTTTACCCTGGGTGTCAGCATCTCCTCTGTGGAATTAGTGGACATGACCATATCTGACCACAGATGTATTGTTTTTAGCTGCGATTCGCCTGTTACTCATGCCGCCTCACCAAGCTCCGTGTGTTTCGCATCTTTAATGAACAAAGTGTTTCAAAGTTTTGCACATTCTTTCAGAGCCAAAGCCAACACCTGTCTGATTCCAACACCAACAATCTGGTCGATCACTTCAATCATATCTGCTTGTTGTCACTAAATATTACTGCTCCTCTAAAGGTTTGGCCTACGTCTAAAGCTAGTAAGCAACCCTGGATAAATGACAGCATTTGCAGCCAAAAAAGGGAATGCAGGAAAGCAGAGCGCAGATGTAAAAATTCCAGTCTCCAAGTCCATTACCTCAGTCTGAAAGATTTATTAATTAACTACAATAACATGGTTAAGGATGCGAGAACACACTATTTTTCTGAACTCATTACTACACATAAACACAATCCCAGGTTTCTGTTTAAGACTGTGGATCAGCTGGTAAACCCAACCCCTCCTTGTGCCTCAGCTGGAAGTAATGATGACTGTGAATTGTTTTTATCTTATTTTACCAATAAGGTGGTGTCAATCAGAGCCTCTATTACCCCCACGGCCTCTTACTCAGAGGTCCCTCACCAGCAACAAGACCGTTTTAACCAGTTTTATCCCATCGACTTGTCTGAGCTTTTAAAAACAGTATCACAAATGAGAGTGTCCTCCAGCCCACTTGATGTAATACCTACAAAGTTTTTACTGAAAGTAATAGATTCTGTTGGGCCCCATTTGATCTCTGTTTTTAACAGCTCCCTATCTACTGGTTGTGTCCCTGATTATTTTAAAACAGCTTCGTGAACCCGCTTTTAAAGAAACCTGGTTTAGATCCCTCCCTCCCACAAACTTTTAGACCAATTTCAAAACTGCCTTTTATTGCAAAGATTCTAGAAAGAATTGTGTCCAAACAATTGCTCACTGTACTGGAAAATAACAAATTACTTCAAAAGTTTCAATCTGGTTTCAGGAAGTACCACAGCACTGACCCCTGCTTCAAGTCACCAATGACCTTTTAATGTCTGCTGATGAAGGTATGTGCTGAGGCCTGGTACTCCTGGACCTTAGCGCTGCTTTTGACACCATTGATCACAACATCATGTTAGACAGACTGAGGCACTGGGTGGGGATCTCTGGTACGGCCCTAGAATGGTTTTCATCCTACCTGTCAAATAGGAAGTTTTGCGTGTCTGTAAACAACTGTCTCTTCGTTCTGTCCAGTTAAATATGGTGTGCCTCAGGGGTCGGTCTTAGGACCCATTTTGTTTTCCTTGTATCTGCTTCCCCTTGGACATATTATCCATAAACATGGTATTTCTTTTCATATTTATGCTCACACACAAATGTACTTGCCCGTCAGATCCACAGACCCTGGAATGCTGAGTTCACTTAACAACTGCCTTTGTGAAGTTAAAAAATGGATGTCAAATAATTTCCTCCAGCTGAACTCAGACAAAACAAAAATCCTGGTCATCGGGTCCCAGCAGATGGCAAAACAAATACTGCCATCTGCTGGTTCCCTAGTAAATCACATTAAGCCTGTTGCAAAGAACCTTGGTGTCTGGTTTGATAGTAATTTAAATTTCGAGCAGCACACCACAAAGCTTGTTCAATCATGTTTTTATCATCTAAGAAATATAGCAAAAATTCGATCTATGTTAATTTTTAAGGACACCAAGACCATTTTACACGCCTTCACCTCATCACGCCTGGATTATTGCAACAGCCTTTTCACTTGTTTAACCCAAAAATCTACTGATTGACTCCAGACTGTCCAGAACTCAGCTGCCAGGCTTTTAACCAGAACAAAGAAATATGCCCACATCACCCCTATTTTAGCTTCATTACACTGGCTCCAAGTGTGTTTTAGAATTGACTTTAAAATTTTATTGATCACTTTTAAAGCTCTTCATGGCCTCTCGCCTTGTTATATTTCTGACCTTTTAGTCTCATACGCACCAGCACGTACCTTGAGATCCTCGGGCAGAGGTCTGTTGTCTGTTCCAGAGTCTCTACTGAAAACTAAAGGGGACAGAGTGTTTGCAGTCAGGGCCCCAAGGCTCTGAAACAGCCTGCCCGAGGAAATCAGGTTGGCTGAGTCAGAAGTCCCTTCTTAAAACATACTTTTATAGGAGAGCCTTTCCCGATCTTATTTGACTTTATTTTATCCCTTTTATTTTATTCTATTTTATTTATTATATTTATCTTAAACGTGTATTTTGGTCTTTTCAATGTTTTCTTGCTTGTATTGTTGTCTTTTGGGTATTGTATTGTTGTCTTTGCATTTGTTGAAGCACTTTGTAACTTGTTTTTGAAAAGTGCTCTACAAATAAAGATTATTATTATTATTATAATGAGCACCACAGACAGCACCTTCCACAGGGCACTGGGCCAGGTTACCTGACTAATTGTTTATAGACTGTTGGTGTGGTACTCAGTTGTTAGTCTTGAGTGATGTTGTGTTATGAACATTTGGCCAAGCATTAACTAAGAAGTATGTAGACCTATTTGATACATGCACCACTGCTAATGTAAAACTTCAAACGTCTTCTGATTGAGCTTGTGAATGCTTCTTTTATTCATAACCGTAGCCTATTTGTACTGTGCACTATAAGCAGCGGGCTATGTATGCTATTTGGGGTGAGAGAGAGTGACTGAGTGAGTTAGAAAGAGAGTGTAGGTGTAGGTAAATGCAACTTTCAGCGTGTGTATTGATAACAGATAGTGCGAATCTTTAAAGTATGATTAAATTTTGTGTAAAATTATACCCTGCACTGTAATAGCATAATAAATTAGATAATTGCCCTCCAAAAGGACATCCCCTCTTGCTTGGCTTCCCCAAATGTTTGCCCCACCCCACGCCACTGGTAAACCCTAGAGATGGTTGTGTGTAAAAATCCCAGTAGATCAGCAGTTTCTGAAATACTCAGAGCAGCCCGTCTGGCACCAACTACCATGCCATGTTCAAAGTCACTTAAATCCCCTTTCTTCCCCATTCTGATGCTTGGTTTGAACTTCAGCCAGTTGTCTTGACCACGTCTACATGCCTAAATACATTGAGTTGCCGCCATGTGATTGGCTGATTAGCTATCTGTGTTAACAAGCAATTGAACAGGTGTACCTAATAAAGTGGCCAGTTAGTGTATGTAGTTATAACATCAAGATTGGTAAACTTTAACAGTGCTGGTAGGCAGATTTTGTTACCTTTGGACTGAGACAGGCGAGCTGTTTTACCGTTTCCAGTCTTTATGCTAAGCTAAGCTAACTGACTGCTGGCTATAGTGGTATCGATCCTGTCATGTCCTAAGTCTTGGCAAGAAAGCGAATAACTGGATTTCCCATAATGTCAAACTATGCCTTTCATGACTAACTATCCCAAACCTGTTCCTATGATTGGCTTATGACTGATCTATTAAGCATGACTAAATTATGTATTAACCATTAATAAAGTCTTTAGTTAAAACATATTGCCTGCCTTATAACACAGTAGTACCAAGGTTGTCTTCATTTCCTCCATAACTTTTTCTGATAATAATTCTTTTAATAATCCAGCAAATCCAGCCAGTTTTAGTGTAACTTTATTTTGTTTCATGTACTTCACTATTTTAATTATAGTGTCGATGTCAAGTCTTTTGTGGTGTTCTTCATGCTGCTTTTGTTTTATCGACAGTTGTCTATGATTTACTGTACCTCTTCACTTATCTCTCCTTCCAAGGTTTTAAATGGTTATTCTCCACTTTACCCCTCATATTTCCTTCTTTTTACAACAGCAAAGCTATTGCAGCTGAGTGATACTGTATCCTCTCTCTGGAAAGAAGCAATTACCTGAACTTTATTGTTCATAAAATTTCACAGATTCAGATTGTGATCTGCTGCACTTTCATTTAATTTTATGTTAAACAGCAAAATCGTTCCGAGATAATTTAACTTTGTAAAAATCAACACTTAGCAAAGTTCTCCGGCACTCATCACTCATAGATTGATGCTTGAATAAACCTCTAATTCTGCGGTGTTCGACCTTTTGTGTCTGATGTGATTTGATTTATCTTGCAGGTTAAATGAACATGTGGAGGCCACATGTGGCTAAAATATCTTTTTCTTCTCCGGTTCACTTTAGGATCTCTCCTTCCCTCTGTCTCTCTGAACACACAGCTTTGAACTCTGGCAAGCAATCTGGCATCACCGGCAAGCAATTTAGGATTAGCCAGTGCAAGAACCAGCGAGCCAAGAGCACAAACTGTGCAAATGTATGTAATGCCAGTTTTTGTGATTATATTGGCTATTTATAACCGACAAAATTTTGTTTCAGGTGAGGCTCTGCCAATGGAGGAGAAACATGTTGTGGGATTACACAGCAGTTTGTGTCCCAGGATTCAACATCGGGACTTTTTCCAACACTAATTTCTGCATCCAAACTCCCTGTTTTATGACATTGACCCTGCTATATCTTATTTACACAAAATAATCTTGTTAAACGCTTGAGGTATAGAAAAGTCCCTGTCCATACCAGCTCAACATGACATTTTACTTAATAATCAGTACTTAAAATGGGCTTCTAAAATTAGAATATGGTACATAGGCACTCACATTAATTGTGGGTTTTTTTTATGGAGGCATCAGCAGAACAATAATGGATATCTGAATTAGTTTGTATGGGCTTATTAATCAAAGGGGACTCTTCCTAGTCATGTCATCAACCATTATATGGGTTTTTTTTCTTTAGTGTTCAGTTTAATTAAGAAATGCAACACTGTTGCTTGTTCATCTTTAAAGTGACACCTAAACTGATTTTTGTGCCATCCAAAATGTTAATAGAGTTTCTGAATAATTTAAATAAAATATTTACACAATATATCAACAACATGATCATAACCACAATGCCTAAACATTGTTAAACTCTAATATGGAATTTTATTTTTAGACATTTGGGAAATGGAAAGAAGACAGATGAGTGAATGTAGTAAGTATTTAAGTCAAAATGTACATGTGTAATACCTACTGTATAATAAGTAAATCTACACAACTTTCATGTAAGTCTGAAAAGTGGCAGAGGCTTAGTGCTTTTAACCTACGTCATGCTTCAACATTGTGCATAAGAACTTATTTTTGTTCTATACTTTTTATTTTTATTATAAAGTCACTACAGAACCACAGAATTACTCTTTTAGGAAAAACACAAACACCAAATGAGTACCACGTTAAACATATTTCTTGATATACTCCTGAGTGGAATAGTATTGTCAAAGTTAGATTAATGCTACATGATTATGACTGTATGATCAATATAGTTCCAAACATTATAAAGTCACTACAATATCGCTATTAAGTGGCAGAATCACCTAATTAATCCTTTTATAAATATCACAGGAATAAACATTTCTCTTGAATTACTTCATATACCCAGGAGAGAAAGAGATGTACTACTATGGCGAATTGACCATAGACATGAAATATCGGCCCCTGATCAAATTAGTTCAATAAACCAGACAGCCAGTAGGTGATTTGAAGAGGATGAGGGGGTGGTGCTGTCTGTGGTGCTGAAGTAGCATAACATAATAATTCTAATATTCTCTAAACTATATCCTACAAAAAGTCAATACTATACCATGTTGTGTTACATTTATGAGCAAAGTCAAAAGTAGCATTATGTAGTCACGAAAGAGTGAGAGGATCATAGAGATACAGCTGTCTGTAGTATTCCTATAATATTCCTCTAGTATTTATGATCATTCAGCTGCTGAAACTACACCCCCAGACCAAGATACTCTAAATCTTCTAGGTTCTCATTTCCTATCCAGAAAGTGAACAGCATACCATGTGTGTTCATCCAGTTTCAATTTGAATTTCTTTCTAAACACAAATGGTGTTTTAAACAGGAACACTGTGATTCATATTAAACAATCAAAAATGAGATTTATTAAATGAATATGTCAAGTATGATCTTATATACAAACCACATTTGTTCTCAAGAAGTAACCATGTCAATATTTATCAATTAATCAATAGTAATTCTTAAGCCAAATCCAATCAATATTACTTCTACACCTCATCTCATACAAGGTCAGTGGGTTGAGTTTCTTGCCATTATTGGATGTAGGGTCTCCATCTGAAACGTAACTCTGTTTTTCTGTCATCTTAAGACCATTCCCTGCTCTCAGGAAAAACATGTTCAAATTCACACCTTTTTCTCTGCTAATGAGCCAAAACTGTAGTGTTTTTAATCAAATTAAAGGGTGTCAATTTAGTAGGAAGGGTAGCCAAATATCCAGCAACTACTGAATTCTCCCCAGCAATAATTGTGATTATAATAATCACTTAACCACTATTGTCCGTCAGCGTCTAGTCATTGTATCTGGTGCAGCTCTGGTCCACTTCCTACCTTTTTTAGACCCTCAGCGACTTTATTTATATTAAGAAAATGTTTTTATCGTTCCCACCATCAGGGACATGAAATAACCCTCCTTGTCCCAGTAACGTTACCACACATGCCATACCGCTAGAAGTAGAAATAGGATAAAGTTGTATAAAGTCCCCAAAAATAGGACAAAGTTACGACATCAATCTGTTTAGTGCTTCTTGTTAATTACAAGAACATCAGTGTTTCCCGTCGCACCGTCTCACTCACCGGAGTTGATGAGGATCCAGCAGTACAGAGCTGAAGTCCGCGTCAAATCTCTCTTCCGTTCCATTTGAAACAACAGAATCACAACAGAGCCCAGTTTTATCAAAATGAAGCTCAGGCTGTCTCAGAAGTGTTCAGCCTTTATTTCCTCATTGTTCATCTCTAAACCAGCCTTTCGTCTTCTAACAGCTGGATGGATCACAACCTCCCTCCATCATCACTATCTCCTGTCATCAGCATGCGATCACATCACAAGGTATTCCTATGGGGCTGGGCTCAGGCTTTCACAGTGAGCCTGAGCCCAGCCCAACCAACCTAACGTATGGTTCAGGGATTCTTAATGTATGATAAGACTTCACAGCGATTATAAATCAATCAAAAACGTAACAAAATCTGTGACATGGTGTTTAATGACTGCCCAACTTTAACAGTGAGAGGGCGTAACGTCGACGACATAACTTAAAAACAGGGTTACGTTAAGTAACCCCACTTTTAGACGATTAGCCTAACACTTAACGTTAGTAAAAAAAATCAGTACCACAATGTAAAAAAACTCCACTAAAAGTTAACCTCCTACATTCAAAGTCTCATTTAAATTAATGGAATTGTTTCCACATGTTGGAAAACACGCTTATTAGCGTTCTTCTTGCCGAGTGTTGATGGCCGGAAGATAAGGTTATAGGCCTAACTGTTACTGTCATGTCTGTAATGGAAGCTAGCTATGAAGCTTATGCTACCGCAACAAAGACTGGAAATCGAGGAAAGAGGTAGCCTGGCCTTCAAACATTGCAAAAGCTTATCAATAACCATTTTATCAATTGTTTATTAACTCGTACAAAAAAAGTGTAAAAACTACAAAAAAGCTAGCCATTTCGTTGGGCTATGTAGTTACCAGGCAACCAGAGGATACTTCAGGAAGTAACGTAGCTAGTCCAGATCAGGTAAAGAAGTCCCCCATCTTTACTGCAGTCCCGAGTGTTTTTAACACTGCCTCGAAAAACTTTGTGCCAGTTTTTCCATTAAAAAGAATTACGTAATAATTACTAACCATCAACTTTTCTTCAGTGTCCTCCTTAGCCTAATGCGTAAGCAAAAGAGGCTGGAGCTGTCCATGTTGCTGAAATCAATTACTGCAACTGAACAAACAAAGTCTGATTATCCACTTTACATCCAGTTACATCCTTAAAGTAGCTTTAAGGATTAAAAGTAGCTTTAAGGATGGGTGAAATTGTTACAGTGCGGTGTGATGTGGGGACAGAGAGGACCCAAATGCAGCGTTCAGATAGGCAGGTTTTATTGGGGCAAAAAGGGGTTGAGGACTGGTGTTGAGGGTGAGGTGGATGCCGGGGAAACGCAGGCACGGGGAACTGAGGAGACAGAAACCAGAGAGCCAGGGGACACTGGGGCCGAGGAAGCGAGGAGGCACTGGAGAACTGGGAGGACGCCGTAGGGGTAGTCCGAGGGAAAGGGGCAGGTGAGCAAGCCCAGCTGACTGACTTTAGACGAGGGTGAGCAAAACTGGGGAGAGACAGACAGACAAAAAGGGTCAGACACAGCAGAGACAAAGTACAGGGAAATAGAAAGGATGCGAACATACAGTGGGTACGGAAAGTATTCAGACCCCTTTAAATTTTTCACTCTTTGTTTCATTGCAGCCATTTTCCAAAAATCAAAAAAGTTCATTTTATTTCTCAGTAATGTACACTCAGCACCCCATCTTGACAGAAAAAAACAGAAATGTAGAAATGTTTGCAAATTTATTGAAAAAGAAAAACTGAAATATCACATGGTCATAAGTATTCAGACCCTTTGCCGTGACACTCATATTTAACTCAGGTGCTGTCTATTTTCTGATCATCCTTGAGATGGTTCTACACCTTCATTTGAGTCCAGTTGTGTTTGATTATACTGATTGGACTTGATAAGGAAAGCCACACACCTGTCTATATAAGACCTTACAGCTCACAGTGCATGTCAGAGCAAATGAGAATCATGAGGTCAAAGGAACTGCCTGAAGAGCTCAGAGACAGAATTGTGGCAAGGCACAGATCTGGCCAAGGTTACAAAAAAATTTCTGCTGCACTTAAGGTTCCTAAGAGCACAGTGGCCTCCATAATCCTCAAATGGAAGACGTTTGGGACGACCAGAACCCTTCCTAGAGCTGGCCGTCCGGCCAAACTGAGCTATCGGGGGAGAAGAGCCTTGGTGAGAGAGGTAAAGAAGAACCCAAAGGTCACTGTGGCTGAGCTCCAGAGATGCAGTCGGGAGATGGGAGAAAGTTGTAGTAAGTCAACCATCACTGCAGCAATCCACCAGTCGGGGCTTTATGGCAGAGTGGCCCGACGGAGGGCCTCTCAGTGCAAGACACATGCCTGCCAGTTTGCTAAAAAACACCTGAAGGACTCCAAGATGGTGCTAAATAAGATCCTCTGGTCTGATGAGACCAAGATAGAACTTTTTGGCCTTAATTCTAAGCGGTATGTGTGGAGAAAACCAGGCACTGCTCATCACCTGTCCAATACAGTCTCAACAGTAAAGCATGGTGGTGGCAGCATCATGCTGTGGGGGTGTTTTTCAGCTGCAGGGACAGGACGACTGGTTGCAATCGAGGGAAAGATGAATGAGGCCAAGTACAGGGATATCCTGGACGAAAACCTTTTCCAGAGTGCTCTGGACCTCAGACTGGGCCGAAGGTTTACCTTCCAACAAGACAATGACCCTAAGCACACCGCTAAAATAATGAAGGAGTGGCTTCACAACAACTCCGTGGCTGTTCTTGAATGGCCCAGCCAGAGCCCTGACTTAAACCCAATTGAGCATCTCTGGAGAGACCTGAAAATGGCTGTCGACCAACGTTTACCATCCAACCTGACAGAACTGGAGAGGATCTGCAAGGAGGAATGGCAGAGGATACCCAAATCCAGATGTGAAAAACTTGTTGCATCTTTCCCAAAACGACTCATGGCTGTATTAGATCAAAAGGGTGCTTCTACTAAATACTGAGCAAAGGGTCTGAATACTTATGACCATGTGATATTTCAGTTTTTCTTTTTCAATAAATTTGCAAACATTTCTACATTTCTGTTTTTTTCTGTCAAGATGGGGTGCTGAGTGTACATTACTGAGAAATAAAATGAACTTTTTTGATTTTTGGAAAATGGCTGCAATGAAACAAAGAGTGAAAAATTTAAAGGGGTCTGAATACTTTCCGTACCCACTGTACGTGTGAGCCTGAATGTTGAGGTGGCACCGGGTAAGGAGCGACGACGATCAAGCAGGAGTTGACTGGAGAACCAGGGTAGAAGTACTGGCAGAGATGGAGTTGATTGCTGGCAGGTGTGGCAGGCGGAGGAGGTGGCTGACGAGGAGCAGGTCGTTGGCTGGGCTCAGGAGCGGAGAGAGAGAGAGAGAGAGCACGGGAGGCAGGCAGAGTACAGAGAAAACCAGGGAAAAAACAGAATCACATACAAAAGAGAGAAAACCAGGACACTCACCGTCAGCCGGGCTGCCACCACAACAGAAATAACATTATTGTTATAGCCTATATGTAGCTACTGTATCAGCTTGTTCCCATTTTATATATGCTTTAGGCCATAAAAGAAAACAAAAACACAGTTGTTACTGGTTAAGTACAGTAAAGTTAACTTTAAAATGAATCCACTACCACCCATAAAACGCGGTTGAATAGAATAATCACATTTAACAAAAGCATACATTTACTGTCAAGATTTGCCTGGTTGATAGTCTCCATTGATAGTTTAAGCCTATATGGCACGTTACACACATAGACTGTATATAAAAAGGTTCCACAGCATAAATTAGCCTAGCGTCTGGCGGATTTTTCCTCTCCTCGTAGCTTAACAAATGACATGTGATTTATACTATTCCTTACTCACCGCTGGTTCAGTTACTGCATCTCCCGACACAACACCACGGGTGACATCGCGCTGATGACCAAACCGCCCTGAGCTTCTACCCATTGCAGATTTCTTCTCCATATCCATGCACTGCTTGGACGCAGACAGCCAGCCCGTCCAGCGAGCCGTGCTTCCTGAACACATATCTTGTCCGCGTCTGTCATTTGGCGGAGCAGTCTGTCAATCCCTCTATCCAGTAAATACGACTTGTGATTGGACTGTACTTCAGCAGAAAGCCAAGCATTGGCTAAGGCCCTGCCTCCAGGCTTTTTTTTTTAAGTTGCGAGGTTGTGAAGCTTCATTTTCGCTCAGTCTGATTTTCAGAGTTTCAGAGCAGAGCTGCGTGACAACGCTGCCACAAACCATGTGAGTCGCAAGCTCGCAACTGTGTGGGCGTATCTCCGCAAAGTTGGTGTTGTAAACTCAGCTCTGAAAAAATAAGTCTGCAATAGGAGAGCAAATGTAATGTAATAAAGTTTCGCCCTTTCGAACCTCAATTTACAGAGTTTTAAAACTTTTTTTCACACATTCACACACCGGTTTTCAGATCAGCATTTACAAGGTTGCAAACCTGGAAAACAAACTAGTACACTGGGAGAACACATACAAATTTGAAATTCTGCAAAATTGCGCAACATCGTAAAAGATTTTGCAGTTCTGAAGAAGGAAAACTCAAAAACAACATAATGTTTGCGGAGATTTCATTTTTTTAAAAACATTTTGCAAGTCTGCAAATCTTAGTTTTCGATCTTGCAAAACTTTTTTTTTGTAAGGTTTTGAGTTTTCAAACACCTAGTTTCAACCTTTCAGAACTTTATTTTCAGTTTTGATTCATGGCAGGATATTCTTCCCATACACCAGCAGTTCAGTGGGGTTTTAGGGCTGTGGGCCAGAATAAGTAATGGAATAACATTGTGTTACTGTTTCTCTATGTTTAGCCCTTTTCTTTTGAAATACTGGATACTCTTAATTCACCAACTAGTCACTTCATCCTGCATAAAGGTTTAAATCAGAATCAGAAGAATCAGAAGGAGCTTTATTGCCAAGTAATGTTTTATACATACAAGGAATTTGCTGTGGTGATAAGGTGCTACACGTAGACAAACATACAGTCAACATAAATAAATGTAGAAATATATAAATATGGAATGTAAGAAGAACAAATGTACAAATATGTGCAACGTGCCAGGTCTGTGCCTGACACTAGATGAAACAGT